TGAAGACCGGATGAATGAGCACATCCAAAGAGAAACCCATGTCTTTTTTTGACATCAAAGGCATCGCCCACCATGAATTTGTTTCTCCTGGACAAACCGTCAACGCCAACGAGAACGTCAGCGCTCATACCGCCTTTCTTATGAACAGCTACCTAACCAAGGCCGACATCTTAACGCTTCTGCAGCCGGCCTACAATCCAGATGTGGCCCCTCCGGACCTCTTTTGTTTCCTTGCCGGAAAAGTCGGTGAAAGGCAAACATTTTGAGACGACACGACAAAGGAGACTATTTTGAAAGCTTTTAAAGAATTGTAACGATTGGTTCAATCAAATTTTTTTAAATCGGCTGAGTCCTATAATCTTCCGATCAAACTGGACACAGCCGAAAAGTCCCCACACAAATGCCAAGGTTCATCTGAAACTCAAATTTAATGTTCTGTCAAGAAGTCTATTACCTGTTAGGGCATATAAATGCTGCTTCATTCATTTTCTCAAATTCTACACAATGACATTGCAATTTAACAGCCTTTTTATGCCGGCCGCTTCAATCTTCTGTTAATCACTTTTTCCTCAAGTGCTGAAACAGCCACCAACCAAATATTAATATTGGCCGTTACTGTTGTTATTTCAACAGGATAATGAAAATGGAAAAACAAACTGCACTGAAGTTAAGGAATAAAACTCACTAATCGGAGGAGCGTTCACATGTCAACATTGTCTTTCATTACGACACTTGAAAGCCGCTGCCGCTCACCGCTCTCATATTTTTCGCCATTCCTCATCTACTCTTGCGCTACTTTCCTTACATCTTTCGCAAACTCTTCATTAACAATTTCCACTGTTTGTTAAAAATAGATTTGAAAAAATTTCAAAAGCAAAAAGTTTTTGCTCACTTTACACGCGAACGGTTCTTCGCGCTCGTTTTCAAAGGTCAATAAAAAGCGCATCATTATCGGCGTTGCCTGATTGAGTATTCGAATCGGCCGCTCTCCATACATATACACAGTGTAACTGACAAGGAAAGTTTGCCTTTTAATTCTCATGTTTTTGCCGCTTATTTCTTTTTCCCACCTCCACTGATACGGCGCTGTTAGAAGCCGTTGGAAGAGTCTCTCAAATTTTTTTTAACTCGTGCGCTTAAAGAAGTGGCATAAGTGCTTTTCAAACTAAAAACTTTTAATAACAAGCACTTAATTGTTCAATTGAAGATTTCGCCCACAGTTTGGCGCTGAATGCATAATTAGGCGGCGTTTTTTTTCTCTTCGAATGTCATAAAACGACTTCAAGGGGAAGCAATAATTAATAGTTGTTCATTAACAATAGCGTAGTGGTAAAATTATCATTTTTGAATGGCGATAGTGGCAGTTCATATTGAAGGCCGTCACTGTGTGTTGAGTAAAAACGCTGGAGTTCGGCAAGAACTGGTGCCAGTCACAGTTTCCGATCAGTGTAAACAACATTTTCTAACATTTCTTTATACGAAAGCGACTTTTTTGGTCGTAAAAACTTCTAGGCTCTACTAAACTTTATTTGGTAAGTACTTCGCTTTTCTTACAGTAACTAAATCAGAGACTACACAGTTTTGTTCTTATTTTAGTTTTATTTATCTCACATACAATTTTTCTATAGTGTGTACAAATCATATGCAGACGAAATTTTCAAAGAAACATTTGTTTTAAGAACTAGCCACTTGCATAATAGTCAAGGTATACCTCTGGGGCTTGGTTAGTTGGAAAACTGAAAAAATAAATAATAAAATAATAATTAAAAAATGTTTGCAATAGTTGAAACGCTTAACTAACAGAAAGTGAAGGCGATAACTTCGCCATTGATCAATGACTTAAAGTGACAAAGTGAAGCGGCTTGCTGCGGAGGGTTGTACATTCTGTTCGATTTCCTACAGGTACACAGAGCACAATGAGTACATAAACCGATTATCAAAACCAATAAAGCGCTAATTTCATATATATATTATATTCGTGTACTTTTGTGGTTCCCGTTATATCTTGTACAAATGTGATAGTCTGCCTTCCCTCGCGGCTGCTTTGTCAACAGATAATGCCACGCAATCCGTCTAAATCTCTCCATTCCTCCTAACTGCCATTATGTTACAAAGAGAAATAAATATCTAACGAACATATGTTATTCTATGGACAGTTTTTCTTGTAACGACAGCACATATTCACATACTAAGCGCTCAAATAGATAAATTAGCGCTCGCAGTTGGCAAACGTATGACTATACTTTCGTATCTTTCACCTAATTGTCCAAAAAACGCATTGTTGGTGTTGTGATATAATGCATTAAATAATATGTACTATAATAAACTAGCCATATCTTCTTCGAACTAGTTAATTTTCAAGCAAGACATTCCAGTTAGCAATCGGATTTCTTTTGATCAATTTGATTTTCCCCGCAGAATTCCCGTCGCTTTGCGCTCGTTTTTAGATTGCTCTCTACTCCTGAGTTTATTTATGATCGAAAATACCCGATGCGCTTGCTTTTACTGTGTTATGAAGGCTAAACAACTATAATAAATAATAACAATAAAGAGAGCGATAAATCGATGGCAATCAAAAGACACACACACACACTTTTATAAAAACACATATTTGCTCACTGACACTGTAGTCAGTACGTGCCGTTAGTTAAATAACAGGGATATAGCTTCCAGTTCTCTATAGTGTTTATAGTACATATATCGTATACCCAAACATATACATACAGCTGCCAATGCAAATGGAGCCCGTAGTTACATTTTGTCGAAAGGGTTGTCTGACGTGAAGTCCCTTTTGTGCCAAGCGACACAATTTCAAAAGCAAAACCTTGTAATTTGTCATTTACAGACACTGACGAACCCGCCGGCAAACAGACAAACATACCCATTGCGTACACATACTTGCAAAGTATTATTTATATACGTGCAGCCCTATCTGGGTTACATTCAATTACAGCAGTCACAAGCGATAGCAAGGTGCGCGGCGCAAGCGGAAAATAAAATTTCCAAAAACACAACACGTCGAAAAAAACAGATGCGTATTCAAGTGAGTGCTCTCTTATGCAAAATATACAAGGTGGGCGCTGGTAGAATATGGAATTGATTATAAAGAAACGTGACCTATTTCGAATTTGTGCACCCCGGAAAACTCAGTAATGCTAGACCATGGGAGGATATCAAATGTTTTTGCATTAATTAGTGAAAATCTAAAAAAAAACTTCAAATCATATCAAGTTAATTCTTTGCAAATGTTTAGCCATATATTGTCAGTATCAAAGACTACAATGGATAGTAAGATTTGAAGTATTTGTCCCTGTAAGAAGTCTGCCCTTGATGAGGTAAACTAACTAGTAATTCTTTCCTTTTCAACTAAATATTTGCATACAAAATATCAAGGCTTGACTTATTCAGTAAATTTTGAACAAGAAAGCGACTGCATAATGTTTATATACTGGTTTCCATGCCACAAAGGAATTCCGATGAACGAATCAGCTGATGAGATTGCCAAAAATTTCATCGCTCTGGTTACCGAATAAGAACAGGAAATTCGTAGGTCACTAAAAATGATATACAATGAAATTTCCGAAAGGGCTGACGGGCGGATCAGAGACCGCCGGTGAGATGGAACACCTTAAGTACATGCTGGATCGCCAAGATCATTTACAAGAGCCCCGCAGGAATACTCACTTGCTGTTTATTCACGCGGTCTCGAAAAGACTGCGGGCAGCTGTTGACCTCTTGACAGGTTACCACCTAATGACAGCACATGTGAACCGGAGAGATGGCATGCAGAAAGTGCGGTGAAGTTGGCATGAGAGAGACTCTGGAACACCTCCTCTGTCTTTGTTTAGTAACATCTAGAACTCGTCTTAGATATGTATAAGTTTCGGAGTTCAAAGGACTAGACGAAGTACGAAACCTAGACATTAAGCCGCTCTTGAAGTCAATGTCGACGTCCCGAATGACGTATACTTCACCTCAAACTAAACTGAACTTTCATCTGGCATTACTAAGGGCTTAAATTAACCTATTTCAAAACAAAAACTGACTCTGAAATATACAAAACCTCTGCTATGGACGGCAGATAAATTTATATCTGGTATATTCAACAAAACTTATCTCGAGCTCATTTCTTAAGTCTTTCCCAGAAAAGTTTTCAACTCTGACTTCATGTTCATCATTCATACATTTGACTTCTGCTACACTCGTTGCAGAGCTTGCTAATTTCACACACTATTTCTTATGCTCTATATTCTTAGTACCGCTGCTCCCGAAATCCCTCCAATCGTGCATACATTTACAAATTATGTACATATTGCCTATTTACACTCACGGAAGTGGGCAAACATGGAGATCGGCGACCGATTTCTATAATTGACGTGCAAAAGTACAATATCCGCTCGTAAAGCTGTCACTCGCCTCGGGTATTCAGGCAATTTTGAGCTTTGCCACCGCCACCGTCGCGACTGTGGCCACATGGGACTTTAGCAACACAACAGCTTTCTACCGTCGCTTTTGACATGGGCAAAGTGTGGTTGGACGGTTCGGTTTCGGATAGACTACGATGAGATACACACACAGGCACACAGTGAGAACTGCGCATAAATTATCGAAACAAAAATAATAAAAAGACTTGATTATGGAAATTTATTTGCGCGCAGCTTATCTTATCAGAATTCAGTTAATCACAATAGCTGATAGTCATATCGTATATCAAAAACAAAAACTAGTAAAGGAACTGTATTGGGCAAGGCTAAATTCGTCAATATATTGAAAGCATTTCCAGCTTAGGAAAATCCCGGCTGCTTCAGAACGAAACACTCATAGGATGTTAATATAAAAGCTTATCTGGAAGGCTACTCAAATACTGTCTTTTTAAGCCCAGCGACGAACCACTTCGCTCTTGAACCTTTATTTCTCAAAATTCCAACCCAAACATATTTACAGTGAGTTACAAATTGCCTAGATGGATGAAAACCGAAATGCATTTCTGTGTGACTCACCTGTTTTGATTAACTTAAAGTTGACATTATTTTGGGATTTGAAAGCCTCATTCAAACTGCTGTGTCCGTAATCCTTTAGCACCCCATTGTAGGAAGCCATTCCGGCCCGCGGGCCAAGGGAACCACTCCGTGGCCCCCTCCACCCAAAGAATCTACGACTTTTTCGACCACTTGAAGATTTTGTTGAAGAATCTGCTAGCGCCCAGAATCCAGTTGATGTTGAGTACCCCGGAAGAAGTTTGCAGCGAATGCGGTTGAGCGATTTCAGTGTGTAGAGGGAGCGAAAGGAGTAAATAATTTCAATATATTAGTGCGAGAATTGGCGCATCTGAACGTTAAAAAACAAAAACTAAACAAAAACAGAAAATATAATGAAAATAATACTTAAACTAAGAAATTATATTCCAATAAATTGAGCTTATTAAGGAACACACATATAAACGGTGCAACGAAGCTAAAACATGCGCAAAAACTAAAAAACTAAAATCATGCCTTGTGGGATAAAGCAATTTCCATTCGGAAATATTTTAAAGTGATTCTTAGGAGCAGACCTTTATGTATTGATCATTGCTTTAAATTTTTTAGATGACCCCGCTTTTTCTAGTCCAAAACTCGGAGTTTCATTATCTGTTGAACCACCTCGCATATCACAAAGCTATGGTAAAAAAATGTGTGTGATGACTTCCGACATACTGTTGGAGTCATATTTAGAAATATTGAACGCACTTCTTTTTTATTTTATTTATTCGGAGCAAAGCGTGGAGCATGCTGTGATGGCCCGTGTGCCGAAGATAATTGCTACTACTGTCTCGGCCCTTCCTTTCCTTCGAGAGCCTCTCAGGGAGCATTGCGGCACCTCATCAATTATTCATGAATGCCTCAATTGACGTTCTTATGCTTGTTTACAGCTGTCAATCTGAAGCAAACAGCTTGTCGGCCACAGAAGGAAAAAGAGTAGAAAGGAAGAATGTACAAAAACCGAAGCACAGCTAAGCAGACGCTAAGGACAATTATCACGCGCAGAACGGCAACGCCACTCAATGCCGCATCCGACGTTTTAAAGTCTAAATATGTATACAAACAAGCTTACCATGCTCCTTCTAATTTTGTTATGAATTCGTAATGTCGAAGGTAAACAACCGTCCGCAATTTAAATTGCACAAACGCATGCGTTCACTGACATAACTGCCACTGCCACAGCCACGTGGGAATAAGGACGAGTATGAATGAGCTCGCGGCAGCGAGGCGTGTTTGAGGTGCGACTTTTACATTCGTTTCAATACACGAATGAACTGATGAATTTTTAAAATCTGCTATTCCGCCATGGCTTTTCTATGGATTTGCGGGCGAATAAATGACCGAATTTAACCCGTGTTTGGAATTCGTAAAAAGGGTTTCCAAAACTTCAGTGCTATTTGAGCAGCAAATATTTTCCGAAGCCTCGGGATATGCTGCACATAATTGAAAATTCGATACTTTATTTATCAAAATAGAAAACGTCCGATGACCCTCAGCAGTATTATATTTTATGACGTCATAGAACTTTTTAAAAATGCAAAATGCCACAATGTCCGATAAATTGTTGAGCAAAAACAGAAACAACGCTTCCTAATTAATTGCAATTATTGATAATTACCAGCGAAAGCTGTGGGGTTTACGTCAATGAAATGTGAAACTATTATTGTTGTCCTCACGCTACTTGGCTTCTTTCGCGGGGAGCAGCCCGCTGTCAAATACGCTGACATTAATTCGATATTTTTGAATGAATCGCGTTGCACTGTATTTGGGACATGGAATTGTGAATACCAAATTTCTAGGAAAAGATCATGTTCCCACATGAAACAAGTAAGCAAGAGCTGAGCTGGTGTGGAACCGTTGATTGAGTAACCTCACAGCTTTAAAGAATATTAGAAACGACATTTCTGAATAGTCTTTATATACTTACTCTAGAATCAGACAGTTTCGAATATTTCTGTGCGCTTAAAGGAATATCATGAACAATTTTCCCTCAGAGACCAATGGTAGCGTAAAACTACCTCTGCTGCTATAGCCAACCCCTAAGAGGGGTCCATTACAGCTTAACTTCGCCATGGCGGGAGGACGAGCGGGTTATGCAAGAGAACAATTGCAATTCACTTTGCGCCGAAGTTTTCATGCACGGAACAACAGTTAGCTGCAGCAACTGCCTGAGCCATGTGACACGCTCTCAGCGGATGTGTCGGGCAATATTGCCACTAAAGTTGGCGCCCGGGTCGCTCCGCGGCCACGCGCTGCAGTTATGCCGAATAGTTTTGGCTTTATTTTCAACCAACTTGCCATATTCCACTCACACTTTGCTCGGTTAATTTTATTTTATTTTGTTGTATTGTTGTTGCAAGCGCACGCCACGCGCCTCGGGACCAAGTCAGTCGCCGCAGAAAGTCACTTCAATGAAAATTCATTTGCACGAATTCAATTTCTTTTGTTGTTTGTTCCGTTATTATTATTGTTTCTGTTTCTCGTTGTTGCCTGTTGTATTGTCTACATGTTGCATGCGCGTGCCCTGCAACCTCGCTCCCTTTAAGCCGAATTGCAGCCAATGCTTTGCCATGGAAGAGGGTGTCCAAAGGGGGGGCGGCAATGCCCGGAGTCTCGTCACGTACTTTTCGTTGGCCCTCGTGTATATACCGAGCAAAGTGTAAACATTGTGAAAAATGCGCCCATAACATGCCACACAGGTGCAATCACACAGCTGAGGTCGGCGGCAACAACAATAGCAACGCAAATAAAATGTGACAGCGCTTTTGTGGCCCCCAACGGAGCGTAAAGCGGACTGTGTGCATATGTAAGTACATATAATATATGCGTTGGCATTTGTGTTTGACATGTGTGCTTTGTTGTACACAGTCGGCGCGCATTACGAAAAAGCAACAGCAACAATACTAAATAACTCCAACTTGTGTGACGCACGGCATTAATTCTAGAATACAATAGCAATGACATTGGCTCTCAATGACATTTTCTCAAGCCAAGAGAAATTTGTGGACCTGTAACTTGATACTCTTTTAGTAAGAGCTCTAAAATTTTGATAAAAGCAGCTAAAATAAATTTTAGGGAAGTGTGGAGAACTTCTACAAAGTAACTGCATACTAAAGTTTTGGTTCATATTTAGCGATTGGTCACGAAAAACTACACAAAGAGGATTTGGTATTAATTTATAATCCAACTCACCCTCACCCCCCCTCACTTGCTACTTTCGACATAATCTTACAAATGGTTGGGTCGCCTGGCACACAGCTCGAAGAATATTAGCCGTGATCAAACTCAAAAGACATTTGGGCGACAGCTGAGAAAGTCAACAGATGTCTTTGAAGTTTAGGTCTAACCACAAACCACTTCGCAAAATACAAAAACGCACTTTTCTTCCTGACGCAGAGTCATTCTACACCCCTCTTTCATCCCCACTCCCATTAAAAACATTTCAGTGTCTTATCCTTCCATTTTTTGTCAAAGCAATGCATAAGTGGGACGAAAAACAACAACACCAAGCAAAAGGCAAATCAAAGTTAGACTAATTTAGCGGTTAATTAAATAAAGCAACAAAGAGTAACAAATTTTGAGGTTAGGTTCAAGTCGTTCCGAAATTCGTTCAAATCTTTTTGATGCACGCAGTTCATTCTCTTTAACTGTTTCAAACTATTAATTCAGCAATCTCTTTTGATTGACAATGATCTGTCTTTGATTTCAATTTATTTATTTATTTTTATTTTTTATTTTATTTTAGAAAAGCCTCTTGAACTGCAAAACAGTAAATCTTAATATGATTAGTTATTGTAAAAGAATGTGTGTTTTGAGGGCACCTGTCACCTTTCTGGGGCACAACACCACTACTAACGGACGCCGCACGCCTTTCGCGGTTCGGTGACACTGGTTGCTCGGTGGAACGCGATCGCGAGTTCATTGCCGTCTTGCCTTCATTTGGCGTGGGTGCAAACAGACCACCCCCACCACCGCCTCCACCGGCACTCTTTGTGCTACGCCCATCTATTTGCGGTGAATACTGACTGCTGGCACTCGATAGGGAACCGGTAGGAGCCGAGTTCGGCGTCATCGGCTGCAACTTATACTTCGGTTCCCCCGACTCGAAGAACGCATCGAAATTGCGTTGTCGCAAATTTTCGCAATTAAAGACTGGGTTATCGACAAGTAGTTGTAGGTCTTCCTTCAAGCGATTCGATTCGCGCTGATCGGTGGAGGTAGAACGTCCTAGCCTGCCTAAGGGCAGATGTAATTTCGGACGCAAACGAGACGATTTGCTTGGCGTGGGGGACTTAGGCCGCGGTTCAGGTGGCAGATCCATCGGCGACATCGGTCGGCCCCAACCTGGGCCATAAATAATCTGTGTTGGATCGGGCGAAGGCGGTTCGAGAAATACGCTTGGACTACGGTCGCGCGCACTAATCAGCTGTTCACCACCTCCTCCAAGTGATGTGGCGCCTGCATATTCGTCCAATTGTTCCGTCTCATAGCTCAGTTGTGGTGTCGCTCCGCGCTGCGGCGTAAGACCGTGTTGCGGTGTAGCGCCGCGTATAGCTGTACCGCGCTCTAACGTGGGTCTTGGCCCAACTTGTCGGCCCTGCATCGATCGCGAGCTGTCTGTCGCATCGTTCTGCATTTGGCTGGTTGTGGCTGAGTTGTTGGATCGCTTGGAAGTATTGTTGTGCTTCTGAATTTGCAAGTGTCGCAATAACTGTTCCTCCTGCTGATGTTGTTGTTGTAGAAGTAATTGCTGATGCTGGTACTCTTGTTGTTGTTTATGCTGTAGAAGCAGCAGTTGTTGCTGATGTTGCAGTTGCGTCGCTGACGGCGGCGTCTGTTGGTGCGCACTGCGGTTGCTTCTGTTGCTCCGTACACTCGAACGCTTGGAGATGGCTGCGTCCGGTGCAGGCACGGCCGAAGCCGAATGTGTCAGGGACGTGCGCGATGTGCGTGAGTTACGCCGAGTTGGCGTTGGCGGTAGGGAGTTCGAGGCGAGTAGCTGTGAAGTGGTTTGGGCTGGTTGGCTGGGATCGTATGTGAAGGCGGTGGTGAAGACTGGCGCAGCGGCGGAAGCGCCGCTATTCAAGGATCGCGACGCAGATGAGTTATGTGCCGGTGCAGTGGTATTGGCGCTGCTGACGTTACTGCTGTTAACACCTTGACTGGCGGCAGTTCTACTGCTGTTTGTGGCGACCGCGGTAACGGCACTTGAATTAGTTGTTGTTTTGTTTGTATCAGTGGTGGTGGCGATTACCGACGGTAACGGCGGTGACAATGATCTTAGTGGTATTTCAATTGGCACTTCGGGTTCACGCAAACGGTCGAGTGTTGGTCGTGGTGCTAGACGTGGTATGGCGGGACCATATGTCATCAAAATGAGTTCATCAGCTGGAAATATCACAAACATTCCTGGCCGCCCCCATGTGACATGGTGACTCCGCGAATCTCACACACTCTCCGCCTTTACAGTTGCGATTGAGGAGCTGCTGCTTATAGCTGGACCGGCGAGAGCTTAAGGGAACACTTTGGGTAGATTTAGTTGAAGATTTTTGTCTTTTATATGCTCGATGGGATGTTTTGGTGGATATTTTTTAATGTATGTATACTAAGTATAGTTATCACTTTGCTCTTACGTGCTCGGGTTATTAAAGCCTATTTCCTTTATCTATTAGTTATATACTTTCGTATTCTTATAGTTATATTTTATTTTAAAAGTATTTTTCGTATTGATTATTTACTTATGTAGATTCTTTTAATATTAAATTACTTAAAGTAGTTATGTATTATTGTTGTTCTGGTCTTCGGTGTTGCTTTGCTTGTCTTTTTTCGTTTTGGTTTTTGCTCTCAAAAACCGCTAAACTCAAAATTTGTTGTTTGAAATTTCAACTAAAGACTTTTTCAAATAAAAAAATCAGATAAATCACAACATCTATAAAAGTATACATATATATATGAAGACGGTGTAAAGAAAAAATGTGAATCCACATTCACTTAGCAATATGTGTAGATATGTGTCTGCAACAATCTCACTTAAGCTTAACGTACGTCTTTAACTCAGGGAAAGCAAATATCACAAACAAAACTGATACATCCCGCGCTATCCGTCGTTCAAAGGTGGCGTCGTCATTTAGAGCGTGGCATATTGATCGATATCTGAAAGAAAAAAATACTGAGAATTATCTGATTTCCTTTTTGCAGAATAAAAAAAATTATTTAGCTTAATCATCTCAATTATAATTATTTATTAATTTCAACAGTTTAGTTAAAAAATTCATAGTTAGAAATAAGAAAATATTTAATTAATTGGTAAATAGTTAGGCTTTTGGTTGTGAGATATTTATTCCTGAAGCGAAAGTGAGAGATTCAACAGATTTGCCAGGGCTTAAATAAGACAAGACATGGTAACGAGAATCGTCATGAAACATACGCTGGCGCTTAGCTTCGCATTAGAGCACATTTCCGCTGGTAATTTCAGCGTGTTTCATGAGATGGCCGCCAATTTGTAACGGTGTGTGCGTGTCGACTGAGAATTTGCAGTATTTGCCGGCACTACGGCAATGTGGCTTTTGCTGGATGATGATCCCCCAGTTCCAAGCCAGCCAATAACCGAGACAACAAAGTGTAACGAAAGCAAAACCAAAGCATAAAACTTTTGTGAATCCATTTAGGCGTCGCGCATAATTTGCTCAACTTTTATGTATCTCATTCCTGGCAGCAAATTTCATTCCGGTACTTGCCACATACAGTATATGGTCACCATAATAGCAATGGCGCATTGTTATCTAGTTTTCTTTTTTATTAGTGGGTTAATTGAAATGTCCTCGGCATGGCGCTACAAGATTTTAATCCTTATAATTTAGTTAATCTTAATCCTCCAAAGTCGCGTATATAGACTTGTCAGCTGTCGGATGATTAGTTTGCAAATGTGAAAAAAAAAATTCGATAAAAAGGAAGTTCACAAATGAGAAAGTATTGAAAGAAAAGAATACAGTTGAGGCATTAACTTGATTTGATGACGATATTTCGGTCACTGTCACAGGAAAATCAACCATCAAGAGGCGTTGTGAAGATGTTCAAGCGTAATAAACCCGAGTTTTTGCGTCGATATGTGACAATGAATGACATTAATCTATAATTTCCCTCCGAAGTCCACTTGATAATCATCTTGACCGCACACGATGAACCCGCTCCAAAGCGGGGAAAAACGCAACAGTCGGCTGACAAGATTATGGTGTTTGTATTTGCATGGAATAATCTTTACTGACTACATACCTTAAGAAAGGAAGGAACATCAACAGCGACTACTACATAGCGCAATAGACTACATAGAAAGTGCTGTTTCACTAAGGCAAAGCACCGTGTCATAAATCAGCTAAAAAGATGGCAAAAATCCATGAGTCAGGCTTCGAATTGCTTCCGAAATCACTATATTCTTCAAATCTAGTCCCCAGCGACAATTTTCACTTCTCAGGACAATTCATACAACACAACTGGTATCGAAACATTTGGAGGCTAAATTAAACTTGCAGGGAACTATGCTGAATAACAAGCGAATTTTGTCAAAAAATGTGTTTTGCTATGGTGGACTGGGGACTTTTCAATTTTTACTTATTTATTATACATCGGACCACTATAGCACCTAGCTGCCATAAAAATTGGACCATCTTTAATACGTGTTTTTTTTTTCATTTAACGAGATATCAAGATGGCAATTGTTTAGATTGAGCTACTATAGCATACAGTGGCCGTGCAAATTTACCGATCCGGATCAAATACTTGTAAGGAGCCTTTTGTATTTGGGAAAGGTATTATAGTTTCAATGCAACCGAAGCAAACCTCTGTTTGTTTTCATCTAAATTATATCCTTTCTATATTCTTTACCTTGAAGACAAGTTAAATTGCACATAAACACTGGACTCTCAAATCAATGTGAACTTTCCCAACTAAACAATAAAAACCATTTTTGAACTTAGCGTAAGCCACCATCATTTAGGTAAGGGCTCAATTTCCTTCAACTTCTGCTAGAGTAATCCAATTATATGGAGAGATACTGTGGAATAACCTGTGCGTCGGCTTTCTTTTGCTGTTTCTGTACTTGCCTTTCGTAATTTCGCCTTCACCTTTTTGTGGGTTATTTGCAATAACGGTAACTTTTACCGCAAGTTTTATTAAGTACAAAATTTCATTACATTAAAGCATTACACACTACACCTACGCACATCTATTGGCACACACACACATATCTATGTACATAGTACCTTTATTAAAGACTTTTTGGACGTCGACTGGATAACTGGCTGCTCTTCGTGCGCAAATTTCACTTTTTCTTAATTTACTTTCGTTTTTTGCAGACCGTGCTACTGCCACTTCTCGCTTGCTTTCTGTCCGTCATATAACTTTTTAACACAAAAGTGCTTCAACGACTAAAGCGTATCCAACATTTGTTCATTTAAGCATAGGTTAGTTCAAAAACTTTTTCTTGTGACCAAATGTGTGCAACAAGCACTTTAAATCCAGGAATGTTGGTCTTATTAGTCCTTAAATGAGAAGTTAGTGAGAATAGCAAGAGCTATTATATTGAGGTATATATCTGGAGTGAAGAAACCTGAGTAGCTACTGCTTCGAAGAATTAAATTGCTTTAAACTTGTATTTTCTCTTAACTTTAATTAAATATATATTCAATAAGCTTCTGTACCACCCGTCACCCAACCAAGTACATGGCCCAAGCTTTGCGAAATTATAACAAAGTCTGGACAAATTGTACTGCAAATAAAATTAGTCTTCAATTTCCCAAATACTTTAAGGAGGACATTCACCGGAATAGCCCTTTCATCTGGACCAATCGGCTGCGATGTCTTGTCGGACCCGATGGACGCTTAGTTTGAGTCTCTTGAGGACTTCCACAAAAAACTTGGTGTTGGCGGTATGTCCAGGAGGAACAAATTCATGGTGGATGATGCCTTTAATGTTAAAAAAGACAATGAGCATCGTTTTCACTTTGGATTTGATGATTAATCAGCAAAATCTTTCCTCCAAAAAGGTCTGGTGCCACCGAAACACACCACCATCATATCAAATATTTCTGTCGCAGATTTACCGATTTTTACACAGAATTTAATCGCGTACCTCTGCTCTAACGAACGCAGCATTTTCGGCGTGTACCACTCACAGAAACACGTCGCGCGAAAATATTTGTCTTGACTCTTCAGGTGCTGGGAGACAACTAACCAGCCGCTCGTTCGTTAGCTTGGAACGCCATCTACCAAATTAAGTCAGTGCGTGCACGCACCAAAGTACAAATACTACTTTCCGAACAAACCCGATAGCCAAGAAATCTAATTGCGATTTAATTCCAGACCGCTTTTATTACAACAACTACGAAGGTAATTATCGCAGGCTATAAGATTTCTCTTCTGTTATAATCCTTGAATTCCGAAGCTTTGAAGCCTCGCGAAAACCAGCCAGTAATCTACACCTGCGCCATTCAGAGTACACTTCAGCCGAATTAGCAATTCTCGAAAATGGCATTTTAATTGCGCAAAGTGTGTTCAATTTGATGTTTATGGGAGTGGTTGCAATAGTAAGCTCATTCCCAGCGCAAATGAGGACTTGAAATTTCAACTCACTTTCAAATTGAAACGAAATTTTATAAATGACTATCAAATTGGGTAGCTTCAGCATATCCATGTCATTCTAGGTACCCTGCGCCCACTTGCACTCCCCTCTTCAAATACCTCAAGCGTTTACACACTACCACTTACCTAAAAAGAGAAATCAAATATTTATCTTATGCAAACTACATTCAGTGAGCTCACATACAAGCCCACTCCCAATGGAGAGACTTTCTGAACTGCCTTTCTACTGCCACATTTTAGTTTCGCTTTATTGATATCTTCTAGTTGCGCAATTTCAGCGCTGGAAAACATTTCAAAATTGTTTGCACAATATTATGCATGTAAATGTTTGTATCTTTTATGCGATATTTCTCTCAAGTCCAAACTACTTCCAGAGACAAGGATATGGAGCAAATTGTTATTTGCTTTGCAATCATAATTGAAAGCTCTTATGAAGGCAAACGTACGAAGCTCATGTTGCGGACAGAAAAAGGTACGCTCTAGCTCTCCGGCCAGTTCGACATGTGAGTGGCATGAGAACCCAGTCGTCGTCAGTGCCATTTTACATTTAAGGTGAAGTCGAACAATACAAGTTTTATTAAAAACCAAGCTATAAATAAAATCATTCAAATTACTTCAATGTTAGCCCCCAGTTTTTAATCTATTAAGTGAAGTTTTTGAGTTAGGTGGTGGTGGTGGAGGTGGTGGTACATAATATGCATTGTATCTATGCTTGAATGAATATTTGGTATTCAGAATTCGTTATTGTACCCTAATACAGTCAAAGCAAATTTCGAGAGCAATTTACCACTGGGCTAACTTGTGGGTTAATCAGTAAAACGCACAGGTAAACTAGAACTTTCATGTCCGGAAATGAGAGCTTTTCCATCTCCTCGGCAGCCTTTTCACTTGTTTACGCAAGCAATCATAGCAGGCGGGTCCCTCGTACGCCCCTGCAAACCTTATCCGGGCGGTGATGTTAGACCATATTTGTTTGCGAAATATTTGGCTGGCCTGAAAAGCCAATAATGTGGACAAGAAGGTAGGCGTTTGCCTTTATTGAAGAAGTTTGTTAGAACTGCAAACTGTCTCATATATGTGACAAGTAAGGCGTGTGAGTGTTTATGTGCATTGTTATAGACATTCTTTCAGTTCGTTGAACACAGTGTTCTTATATTCAAAGAGTAGCCAGGAAATTATAACAACGACGTACTTACAGACCCCAAAGCTCTCATGTCAGGTTCCCAAACTTTGTGTGTTTATGTTAATATCATTGACGGTAATAAACGGTCATTGTAGTCCGCTTAATTTCATTGGCAAACAGCAATTCGTGACATCAGGTGCAATATACATAAACAATTTGAATAAAACAAAACGTCTGTCGACGTTCACTCACTTCGAATTTCTTTCATTCTCTTTGCAAGAGATAGAGGATAAATATAAGTTGCTCCGTAGAGCTAATACCAACCCACCAAGGCCCCAAGCAATGGTCGTTTCCATTGCTGATTCGGTGCAACCACTCTGACTCAAGACCTCAA